GAATCTTAAAACTATTTTCATAAGTGCCATTTATATCTATATTATCTATATTGAAAAGAATAACTTTATCATGTCCATACTCGTTGTGTTGTACACTTAACAAAGTTAATTATAAAAATTTCGACGTCCAAAACTACCCGATACGTGAATCAAATTTTTTCGATTGGTGGATAAGTGTGAGAAAGTCGAATAATTTGCAACGATTAATTAAACAGTCATTGAGGATCTCGTATTTTAGTCCCTTGACCAAAGAAAGCAGGCATGTAATACGATTAATTTAAGTCGCGTTCCTCGACGTTAATTAGATCCAATCTAATAATTATTCGTAAATTGATCGAACAGCTATAGTTCTATCGATCTTTCTTCGCGTAATTATTTGTATATTTTGTAGATATGTTATACATACATTTTTGCGACAGGGAGAAATATCATATTGCGTATAGTGGTCCAATTAAAAATGGCATTCTCAACTCGTACGTCCCCGAAAATTTATGTCTGATTCTTCTTCGTTTGTCTCAGATTTGTTCGTTTCTGAACTAATTAATTCGATGAATCGAGAAAGCAATTCGAGCAAAATTTAGGTGTGTATCTCTCGTCAATAATTTTAAATATCCTTTCTTTTTTCCTATGCTAAATTTCCACAAATTTTAAAGTATTATATACGAATGTTGTACATTTTTTTTTTTAATTTTGATATGCTCAAATAAATTAACATTGCAAGTGAAATATTATTATTACATGTAACATTGAATAAAAAATTGCTTGAAAAATTAATAATACTTTCCCTCGTACATTTTGTTCTAACTAAGACGTAAGGGAAAAGAGATTCTTAAATAAATCGTTCCTCGAAGCAATTCATTCTGTCACCGTCACTTTGTTATTATTACCATCGATTCTATGTAAGAAGTTATTATCTGAATTTTAAAAATTAAACCATCGCTCGCAGGAATACAGATGAAAATAATCGCGAAATTCAACTCCGTGTACACGTTTCCTACGTAGATACTTATAATACTCATGTCTATATTCTTAAAGTGGAATGCTAAACTTTGGTAGAGTATTTTTACCGATACTTTCGATTAATGGTCTCGCGAAGCTTATTTTGATGAAACTATTTGATGAAAATTTCATTTTCATTTATAATTATATAAATTACATGTTCTATTAAATATATGACGTAAAATTTAAAAAATAAAATGTAAATCAAAGATTTCTTCTTAAACAAAATAATTTTAACTTTTATCTATTAAATAGTACTTTTAAATAACTAACAAATAATATTATTAGAAATTGTATATTTTTACTATCTAACTAAGAATTTTATTTATCTATATTTTTAAACTATCATCTCAAGAGTTTTATAATAAGTTTTCTTTCATCTTTTGGATTCTAAATTATTTATGTATAAGAAAAATTTAACTTTTTATTTCTAAGAATTTAAAAAAAAATATTTTAAAATATTATTATTATAATATATTTAATATATTATTAAAATATTTTGCATTTGAATTCATAAGACTTTTCAACTCGAAAAAATACGTAAAATACCAAACCAAAGTTAGATCCTGCCTATAAGTTCAAAAACGTTTCTTGCAAACCTCGAGCAGCGTTTTCTCTATTCTCGTCGTCATAGATCCTCTCAAATCGCGCATTTCAAATGCATCGTTTGCATTTATCTCGTCGAATTCCATCGAATTTCTCGCGAACGACGATATTTTGTTCCACGAATGACGATTTAAATGCAATTGATAAAACCTCAAATTTACATAATTGTAAATCATTATTAAATAAGAATATAGCAGTTAACGAAAATAAAACAGAGAGAGGAGGACGAGTTTTTTTTCCTTTTTGAAAAATTGCGGACGACTTATATAAAATATATAAGTGATTTAATATTTTAAGCGTTGGATAGATACCGTCAGATTTAAAACGGGATTTAACTAATTGAATTTAACTAATTAAAATTAACTAAGGATTATTTATTAGCTATTATATATATATTATATAATATATAAATATATATGTATATTATATACCTATATTATAGTAGGGAAATCAAATTTTACGTACCACAGAGCTATTTGTACAAATGCCGATTTTCATTTCGATTATTCATCCATGAATTATGAACATCGCTCGATATTTAATTGCCGGCAGTGCAACTTCGATAATCGTTTAAGTGGAAAAAAAAAAAATTGAGGTAAAAAAAAAAGTACATACACATATATATATTATATTTTAGATAATTAACCCAGCAGAGGATTCTAGTTTTTTCTTAGGGCTTAGGTATACGTGTATTTACATTTGTCTGTATTTTCAGAGTTAATCGTTAAGTTTCCTTTCCTTTGAATTACGCGCTCATCGCGGGGGACGACAGACATTCTTGTGTAAAATTTTTACGAAAGACTTCGCGCATTTCGAGCCACCTGAATTCACAAGTGTGTGTGTGTCTGTATTCGTAGGGCGAACGATGCGATAGCAGTGTGCCGAATAATTAAAATAATAATAATAATAATAATAATAATAATAATAATAATAATATTAATAATATTAATAATAATAATAATAATATTAATAATATAATAATAATTATAATAACAACAACATAAAATAAAATAGAGAATAAAAGTAATTTTTTTCTGTCTGTGAACGTCGTACGAATGCACCGGCACCCTGGTCATCGTTTGCCCGATCGTTGAACGATCATGTCACTTGTATCTCGCTTAATTACACTTTGTAGATTGCGGTCGCTTATGCTGTATGATTTTACAAAGAATAAAGAACACCTACAAGATAGTTTAAGTGGCTTTTCGTTGGTTGAAGCGTATCATTTCCGCGCGAATGGAGGCGTACCGCGTTTCAATCATTTTTCCCGTATGTCTTAAATTAAATTTACGTTAAACAAGGAAAGATATACGCATGAAATTATTTTAGCACGGTATACGTATTTAGTAATGTATACAAAATGTCCACGTGTCGTTCAAAAGAAGAAACGCGAATCGAATGTCTATGTTCTTAAATTTTGCATCGCAAATTATCATATTATTTTGGCTGTATAATTTTACAAAAAATAAAGAACACTTATCAAGAACGATACCGTGTTTGTTATTTTTCTTACTGAAAATTCCTCCCTTCTATAATATTTTAAACGAAAATAGATATGTGGAAAATTCTAATAAATAATCTTTATCACATTATAAATTGCAAACTAATAGAAGAAATTACGAGAAAATTATTTTGTAATTATATTCTCAAATTATTGCGAATACAATTATCAATTATAAAGTAATTTCCCGATTTTCACCGCGAATTGAAGAAATCTATCATATCCACAATCCTATTCATTCTCCATTGCAAAAAAATTTAATTAAAAAAAAGATAAATTTTTCTTTTAATATAGATTTATAAAAAGTTCAATTTTTAATCGTAGCATATAAAAAATAACAAAAGAAATCTTAAAAGCAAACTAAATTCAGAAATATATCAATACCTGATCCAAATTCCTAAAACATTACCATTTTCATTTCACTCACATCGTTATCAACAAAACGTAGAATAGGATGGTAGCGGAATCTAGCAGAAAATGCAGAAATTAATATCAAACCTATCGGTACAGAAGACAAGCCTCGCAAAAGTTCACGATCACAGATCTATCTAAAATGCGATTTTATGATTCATGTGGAGAAATAAACTTTAAAATAAATTGTTAAATTATTTGTTACTTGATCCAATAATTTATATATATATAGTATATTAGCAAAAAATCCTCATATGTTTATTAAGATTACTAAAATCTGATATATTCATTTAGCAAAAAGCTATGTAGATAATAAATAAAATAAATACGAAATAAACCTAACAGATTTATAATTTACGTTTCAATTAAATACAATTCCACAACAAGATACCCTTATCTAAATATTATTATTCATCTAACGAATAATTTATGAATAAACATATCAATATAAATATTACTTATAACATTAAATTCACAAAACATTCAATCATAGATCGTTTTGCGAAAAAAAAAATCCTAAAAGAAAACCTAAATAAGTTAAACCTAAAAGTAAAAATTAAATTCTACCATATTCTAATAAAAATATAATTTTATACATAACACACAGACACATCATATACGTCACATATATCAATATTTTATACATTCATTGTCATAAAAATATAAAATATTAATAATTACAAACTTTAATAAAAAACAGCAAAAACTTTTCACATAAACAATATTACCACATAACACTACTTTTCACATCAACACTATTACCACATAATACTACTTTACACATCAAAACTATTACTATATAATACTATTTTTCATATTGACACTATTGAGATAAAATACCACTTTTCACATCAATACTATTATAACATACCACCACATTTAACATCAATACCACATAAAAACATGACAATCACTATTCTATATTATACAAATAACATATATATAAATATAAATATATCATCTATTATACATGCAAACACAAATATATCCTACACGAAGCAACACTTTGATAAGTAACCAACTCAGATTTCGTGCATCCATAAAAGTAAACTTAAGAAAAAACGCATTATGATAATTCCATAATCTGATTCAATATAAAACTATACATAAAAAACACATCATATATATTTCATATATCAATATTTTACACATTCATTGTTACGAAAGTATAAAATATTAATAATCACATAATTCAATAAAAAACAGCAATACTACTTTTTATATCAACATTATTACCACATAAAACTACTTTTCACATCAACACTATTATCACATAATACTATTTTCCATATTGACACTATTACCATATAATACCACTTTTCACATCAATACTATTATAACATACCATTACATTTAACATCAATACCACATAACAACATCACTATAACTATTCTATATTATACAAATAACACATATATATATATCTTACTCGAAACAACATTTTGATAAGTTATCCACTCATATTTCATGCATCCATAAAATTAAACTTAAAAATAAACGCCTTATGATAACTGCATAATTCCATAATCTGATTCAATATAAAACTATACATAAAAACACATCATATATATTTCATATATCAATATTTTACACATTCATTGTCACGAAAGTATAAAATATTAATAATTACATACTTCAATAAAAAACAGCAATAATACTTTTTACATCAACACTATTACCACATAATACTATTTTTTATATTGACACTATCACCATATCATACCATTTTTTTTATCACATCAATACTATTATAACATATTATAACAATTACTTTACACGTCCATAAATCATATAACAACATTACTATCATTATACTATATTATACAAGTAATATGTAAGTATTATAATATATAAGATATATGTTATATTATAATAATAGCGTCATTACCATCATCATCTATTATACATGCAATCACAAATATATCCTACTCGAAGCAACACTTTGATAAGTTATCCACTCATATTTCATATATCCATAAAATTTAACTTAAAAATAAACGCATTATGATAATTGCATAATTCCATAATCTGACTCTATATAAAACTATACACATCATATATATTTCATATATCAATATTTTAAACATTCATTATCACGAGAGTATAAACTATTAATAATTACATACTTCAATAACAGCTATACTACTTTTCACATCAACACTATTACCACATAAAACTACTTTACACATCAAAACTATTACCACATAATACTATTTTCCATATTGACACTATTACTATATAATATCATTTTTTTTATCACATCAATACTATTATAACATACCATTACTTTTCACATCCATAAATCATAT